AAAAAAAAAAAAAAGTTAAAAAAAGCGAAATATCAGCCAGGTATGATGTTTCACTCCTGTAATCCTAGCACTTTGGGAGGATGAGGCGGGTGAATTGCTTGAGAGCTCACAAGTTTGAGCCCAACCTGAGCAAAAGCGAGACCCTGTCTCTACTAACAATAGAAAAACTGAGGCAAGAGGAGCACTTGAGCCCAAGCTGGAGGTTGCTGTGAGCTATGACACCAGATCACTCTCTCTAGAGTGGCAGCTTGAGACTCTGTCTCAAACAAAACAAAACAAAAAAAAGGAAATATTGTATAAGTTGTAAGAGAGGGATTCTAGCAATCACACACACTAAACTTTCCAGTATTTTAAGCAAAAAGATGACATCTGTATGGTTAAGATTCTTTTTCATCTTCCATAAAGTAAGTCTGCTGTAGCCAAATCTTTGGGGATCTGCTTGTTTTATGGTGTTTCTAACCTAACCAAGCCATGAGAGTGGGAAGTTCTTTATCTGAATCCCAAATGTCATACTTTCTCTAGAAAGAAATTAGCTAATTTTTCCCTGTCCATTTGTTCCATCTTCACTGCTAGAGAATTAGTGAAGTATTTTCTGAACAAATAAAGCAATGGGCCAGGAAACTGTAGTGACATTCTGCCTCAGGCATTGAGGGGAAAACCGATTGTACACAGTATTCTCAGAGTTATAGGGGGGAAAGAGTTGCTCTAAGAAGAGGGTCTCTTTTTGTAGCATGGCAGCGCTACCAACTCCCCAGTTTCCTATGTTCTGGAATCTTAGGACCTTAGGAAGTTTCAAAATCGAATCTCCTTACAGAAATTTATTTTAGAAAATAAGGCAAACGGCGGCGCCTGTGGCTCAGTCTTAAGGCGCTGGCCTCATATACCGAGGGTTCAACCCTGGCCCTGGCCAGCTAAAACAAAAGTAACAACTGCAACAACAACAAAAAGCCAGGCGTTGTGGTGGCCGCCTGTAGTCCCAGCTACTCGGGAGGCTGAGGCAAGAGAATCACTTGAGCCCAAGAGTTTGAGATCGCTGTGAGCTGTGACGCCACAGCACTCTACTGAGGGCGACAAAGTGAGAAGACTCTGTCTCAAAAAAAAAAAAAAAATATATATATATATAAATAAAAAGAAAGAAAGAAAATAAGGCAAACTAGGAAAAGCAATTGGGAATTTTTGTTCAGTCCTCACCTAGCCAAAGTAAAATGGAAGATTCGGTAGGAAACTTCAACTCCCAAGAAGCAATGAGAAGCAAGGCGGAAGTCACTATGCTTTTCGGGTCGGCCCCTCTCGGTCCACTATTGGAAACGGGTGCTCACGTTGTAATACGACGTCCTCCTAGAAATACAGGGGGGGGAGGATTGTCAACTCGTTGCAAAATACTGTTTTCCGAGAGAACCCCTAATTCAATCACTTACCAGCCACCTGGAAGGGGCCGATAGCCACTGTTACTCCCACTGCAGCCCCGCCCCTTGGGGAAAAAGGCGGAACAGCGGAAGTGACGACACCGAGGGCTTCGCTAAAAAGCCGTAGGCGGAAGTTTAGCTTTCTCTCGGCCTTAGCGCCATCTTTCTAGGTGAGTGCATACCTCGCCTGTGCTCGGATTTTGCGGACAATCCATTAACATCTGAGCTCTGCGTCTACCATCGTTACAGCAAACTAACTGTAGCCTTTTTCTCTTTTCCCATAGAAACCTCCGCGCCATGAGAGCAAAGGTGAGCGGCCCTTAGTTGTGAGCTTGAGAGGTGGGGATAAGGGAAGTCCTCCATAAACCTGAACTACTAGATTCTCAAGGGTTCCCTAGAGTTAGCGGAAGAGGATGGATAGTATAGGGAGAAAGAGGAGATGGTCGTTAAGTGCTGTGGGGAACAGGATAGATTAGGAAGAAAAGTAGATGAACTTCAGATTTCTGTTGGGGTCGAGTGCCCACATTACTGAAGGAAATGGTGCAAGCAGTCTCCATACTTGGTTGAGAACCTATGTAATAAGTAGTGTGCTTCATACCCCCACCTGGCCTGGTAAGACTAATTTTTTTTCTGTTCTTTTCTTCATGATCGGTTGCTAGTGGAGGAAGAAGCGAATGCGCAGGTATGTTGAGATTTTGCCGGCCCAAAAGAAGTGGAGTGCTCTTGGTCCAAACTTACAAGAGGATTGCCTTTCGGGAGGCAGGGATTGAACGCAGGGGAATAGAATCTTAGTGTTTATTCATGTTGCGACCCCCTGTCGTATGTGCACCTTTGATTGAAGATGGGAGGGGACACAACTGGTTGGAGGGCAGAGGTTGTATTCTGTCTGCTTTTCAGGCTGAAGCGCAAAAGGAGAAAGATGAGGCAGAGGTCCAAATAAACCGGCTGGCTGTGCACTCGTGAAGGCCACAAGAGAAGGAACATGGGATGCCAGAGGCTAAGGAGGCTAGTACAAGCTGCTGGACTGCATGCTACTGTCTGGAATTTGCTCTCAGTGGATATAAGACCTCATCGCCATCCGATCACCAAGACCACCCCTGAGAGACCCACCTTGCTCACACCAAAACAGTCCCTTGCCCTGGACCTGACATCCTGGACTCGTTCTGTTTATCACTTGTGGCTGAGTGTAACCAGTATACAATAAATCATACCTTCTGCTGTTTCGGCTGATGAAGCAAATCCTCTTGTCCATGATGTGTTTTTTACCGTTCCGTGTGGTGGGGATGCTGTGCCAGCATAGTTGGAGCTGTGGGGGATGTCAAGACTGCTGCTGTATTGGCAATATGCTCGTGTGACGGAGAGTTTGGCTAGAGCTGGACCTGGTGCGGTGCAGGCCTGGGGGGAGGTTTCAGGGTCGGCGGGCAATTAAGAGATATGCTGGTTCTGCCTTTGCTTGCCCAGAGGCCTATATATTGCTGTCCTATTTGGGGTTCTTTTCCCGGCTTTGGGGTTGGGTTACCATGGTGACGCGCAAAGCCCGCTGGGTACTTGGGCTTCTAGTCGCACAAATAATTCGCGCGCCGCGGAGAGTAGTTCCGGGTCCGGCAGCTAGAGTGTCGTTCCTTCCGCAGGAAGCGGAAGAGCGATAGGGTGGGCGGCTCTTTGTCGAAGCTACAGGACCGGCAGGCGGCAGCAGCAACTACGGCGGCGGCGGCAGGTGAGGGAGGCGGGAGACTTAGGTGGAGGCCGCGCCCGGAGGGGAGGAGTCGGGGCCGGCCCAGCGGCTAGGCTCGGCCGGGCAGCGCCACGCAAGGCCCCCCACAACCGAGCGGGCTTTTCCTCACGTCCCAAGGCAGAGCCGGTTTTCTGACTGACCCTGCTTCACGAGCAAACGCCAGCTCCGTGACGTCACAGCCCTGCCCCTCCCCTCAGCTTGATGTCACCTGGACCCCCCCATCCCAGTCCCCTTTTCACTTCGTGCTCCGTTAGTGTCCTGTTCACCAGGCTCATGCCTGAACGCCGGCAGCACTGCACGAACGTGCCGAGCTAGAAGACTTGCTGTAGGGAAACTACTAGGACTTTCTCTGCACACTGCGGTATTGAGAGGTGTCACGATCACTGTTCCCAAGTCTAATCTGCCTTCCTACTGTACTGTCAGGCGCTGTCCTTGGCAGGTTCCTCGTTCGACGTTCCCAACTCCAGCCGTTGGTGGGGCTCTCACCCCTACATCTTCGTCTTGAGGCAGGACACCCTTCACCTTTTGTTCACTCGGGGATTGTTTTCCAACCCTTCCTCTCAGTACCTGCAAATTAGTTCTCTCTTGCTCTTCTTACTGGCTACGTCTCCCTTTGACAGGTGGAGAAGTTCAATTTGAGCCCTAACGAAATTCTGACGTTGCCAGAGCTGTGTCGTTTTGTCATATATTTAATTCTTCTGAGAACCACCCCGTAGTCCACTGTTACCCCTTCTTCCACCCATGTCTCTATTTTTTTCCTGTTCAGAACCCAGCAGTGATGTGGAGGTGGAGACCCACAGGAGCCCCGGACTTCACCTGAGCTACCTCAGGTATCAATTAATTCTGGGAACACTGGGTGGGGAGAAATCGTATCTAATTATCTGCTTCTGGTGGGACTTGCAACTTGGGTGAGGCTTGAATAGATGGCATTTACTCTTCACCTGGTGATTTCTCTTTTAGTAAAAGTTTGTACGTCTTCTTTTACCACTTCTGTCCTTGATTGCTCCTGTTATTCCTCCCTTTGAAGGAAAACTACCTTCTTGTAAAGATTGTAACTCTTATTATATGGTCTGGTCAGTTAATTTTAGGAAGATTTAAAGGCACAGCCAAGCCAGTGAAGTGGGAGTAGGTCAAAGCCAAAGAAGTAAAGATTCCCTTACGCTTACAGGGAAACAACGTGAAGTTTTCCTGTTTCAACTGCAGGGGGAGCCTGAACACTGCCCAGGAAAGGCTGGAGAGGTCAGACACGTGGTAGCAGGGACTCCCAGTCTTATTGCGGGTGGAGAGGGGAGGGATAGAACCAGGGCAGTGGACTGACATTCCAGAGCTCTCTTGGGAAATAGGAGACTTAAAAAACTTTTATGGAGTCTATAAATAAAGTGGATCTTTATAGGGTGAGGAATGGCAGTGGGATCTTCACACAGGGAGGTAGGAAGGGAATGGGGAAAGGTCACTCATTCTGTAAAATTAACTCATTCTCACCTGACCTTGTCACAAAATATTTTGTCCTAGGGGGTCTAGAAGTAGAGAGAGTCTGGCTTAGAACTCCTCTGAAATGGAGGGGATGGACTTACTTCCCTGGGGTTCAGAGTAGCGATGGGCTGGGAAAGAATACTAAAAACAATACATTAGGGCTCGGCACCTGTAGCTCAAGCAGCTAAGGCTCCTGCCACATTCACCAGAGCTGACAGGTTCGAATCCAGCCCAGGCCTGCCAAACAACAACTACAACCAAAAACTAGCTGGGCTTTGTGGCGGACGCCTGTAGTACCAGCTACTTGGGAGGCTGAGGCAAGAGAATTGCTTAAGCCCAGGAATTGGAGGTTGCTGTGAGCTGTGATGCCATGGCACTCTACTCCGGGTGACAGCTTGAGGCTTTGTCTCAAAAAAAAAAAAAAGTAGATTTAGAAACTGCCCACAGTCTCTTCACCCTGGGTTTCTTGGGTTCTAGAGATACAATAACATACAGAGCCACATACAAAGCCCTTGCCAAAGATTCTATGGAACATGGATTAGGGGAAGTTTGTTATCAGTGTTACCATCTACAGCCCTGGTAGCTAAGCAGTCCATCTTGGACACTATTCCCAGTCTATTTAGACAGTGATAGTAGTTTTAATTTCATTTCCACAACTTTAATAAGATCAGCTTAGAAGAGAAAATAAAATCCAACACTATTCTCTCCCTGCCCCCTCCTTGGCTTTTCATCATTAGTGACATAAGGTGGCTTCTCCCCAACTCCCTCCCTCTCCTCTTAGCCAGGCAAGTGTGAATCATTCTGATCTAGACCAGGTGCAGAAGGGCCTGGGCAGGGTTTCTGATGGGTCAGCCATTTAAGCTAGAATTATTACGCCTTAGAAGCCATTGCCCCTCTCGACTGCCTGCCCTATAATCAGGAAGAATAGGCTATCTCTGGAGAATTTTCTGACACAGTTCTCTTTTTTTAGTGGTCACCAAGAGTGGCAAGAAAAGGAAGAAAGCCCTGAATTGGGGGAAACCAGGATGCCTGACAGGGACAACTATGCCAATGGCACTGGGAACAGCAGTGGAGGCCCTGGAGGCGGTGGCAATGAGGAAGCCAGTGGGGCAGGGGCAGGGAATGGTGGGGCCACCTCAGATGCCATCTGTAGAGACTTCTTGAGGAATGTGTGCAAGCGAGGCAAGCGTTGTCGATATCGCCACCCAGACATGAGTGAGGTCTCCAACTTGGGAGTGAGCAAAAATGAGTTCATCTTCTGCCATGACTTCCAGAACAAAGAGTGTAGCCGCCCAAATTGCCGTTTCATCCATGGCTCCAAAGAAGATGAGGATGGCTATAAGAAGACAGGAGAGCTTCCCCCTCGACTGAGGCAGAAAGTGGCAGCTGGCCTGGGCCTTTCACCAGCTGACCTACCAAATGGCAAAGAGGAGGTTCCCATCTGCCGTGACTTCCTCAAGGGTGACTGTCAGAGAGGAGCTAAGTGCAAGTTCCGTCACCTGCAACGGGATTTTGAGTTCGATGCTCGGGGCGGAGGAGGCACTGGTGGTGGAGGCTCAACAGGATCAGTCCCCCCGGGACGACGTCATGATCTCTATGATATCTATGACCTTCCTGACAGGGGCTTTGAGGACCATGAGCCAGGCCCCAAGCGCCGGCGAGGTGGATGCTGTCCTCCTGATGGCCCCCATTTTGAGTCATATGAATATAGCTTGGCTCCGCCCCGTGGAGTAGAGTGCAGACTGCTAGAGGAGGAGAATGCCATGCTTAGGAAGCGAGTGGAGGAGCTAAAGAAGCAGGTCAGCAACCTGTTGGCAACTAACGAAGTACTGCTGGAACAAAATGCTCAATTCCGAAATCAGGCCAAGGTGATGACCCTGAGCTCCACTGCACCAGCGACTGAGCAGACTCTTGCCCCCACTGTGGGTACTGTCGCCACTTTTAACCATGGCATTGCCCAAACTCACACTACTCTTAGCAGCCAGGCTCTACAGCCTCGTCCTGTGACCCAACAAGAACTGGTGGCCCCTGCTGGAGCTCCAGCTGCTCCCCCAACTAATGCTGCCCCTCCTACTGCTCCTCCCCCACACTTGAACCCAGAGATTGCACCACTGTCAGCTGCTCTGGCTCAAACAATTGCCCAGGGAATGGCACCCCCACCTGTCTCCATGGCTCCTGTAGCTGTATCTGTGGCTCCTGTAGCCCCTGTGGCTGTATCGATGGCCCAGCCGTTGGCAGGAATCACAATGAGCCACACTACCACTCCCATGGTGACTTACCCTATTGCTTCCCAGAGCATGCGCATCACAGCCATGCCACACTGATGGGGCCAAAGGACACTCCCCTGGTGTAGCCTCTCAGTGCTGGGGTTATGGGGCCCTGGGGCCCTTAGCTACTCGCCTAGCCCTCTCAGGCCCTTTCTGAAGGGCTCACTCAAGAACTAGGACAAGAGACTACAAGGAGTATGGTTCTGAGGAGGGGTAGGGTTGGTGTGTGTTCTCTCACCTGCCTTTTATGAGGGTCCTCTTATCTATCTCTTACTCTCACAATGGGGGCTTGCATAAGAATGCAGACTGAAGCCAGGAGAGAGGAAGGACTGACTGAGGGTCTTTGTCCTCTTAGGGGAAGTTGGAGACATCCCTGGTCTTGTCCTCTCTTCTGCATAGCACAGGTTCCAACACTGGGTTTGGGAAAAAAAACCTGCCCAGAGGGAAAGCCAGGAAAGACTGGGAAGTGAGTGGCCAGAGAGAAGGCCTGATAGCAGCCTTCAGACAATTTGGGGCCCAGTTGGTTGGGTTGGACAATACAGGAGCTGCTCCTAGGCCCTGGAAAGGCCAGGACCATAGTACTCCAGCCCAAAGACTAGGGGAGCATTCATGACCCTAGCTTGGCCTGGAAATTCGTAGGGCAGGGCCCACTACTTTCCAAAGAAATAAAAGAACAATTATTTTTAACAAATGGAGGCAGTGAAAACTTGCTTAGATCTTCTGTGTAGAAGATGGGAGCAGTAAGTAGATCTCATGCCAAAATGGGATAAAGACCCCACCCTTATTAGCTTGGGTAGGTTTGGTGGTAGCCAAAGAAGGGTAGGGATCCAGAACAAGTCCAAGTGGGGGTTTGCAAAAGGTACTTTGTGGGGTAAAAGCATTGGAGCCACTTAATCTAGTTTAAAAATAATCCCATCTGTTTCTGGTGTCTCTCTGTACATGTTATTCCCAGGTTGCCTTAGTAACCAGGGCTCCTAGGGGCATTTGGGGGCAGGTATTATGGAGGGTGTATGTGCTGAGAAATAGGGATGGGATGTTACACGTATAGTTGACAGATCCTTCCCTTATTCAAACAGCAGGGCAGGTGGAGGTAGCCTTTCTTGAGTTGTTGATGGCAGTTAATTTCCCTCCTACCAGCCCTTTCTCAGTGGTCAGTTCCTTATGCTTTCAAAGCTTGGGAGGTGCTGGGAAAAGGGAGTTCTGGGGACACAAGCCTTGGGTTTATTCCCTTTTCCCCTCTATCTCCACATAGGACCAGAGATTTTAAGTCTAAAGGTCAGTAAGGCCAGGGGCTCCAATAGCCAAACTTCAGTTTCTCCTCAGTTCATGGTTGATGTAGGGGAAACTACTCAGGTGTATAGTCTACTGGGACAATGGGTTTAGGGGTAGGGAAAGTGATCCTCAGTTGTATCCCACCCTCTCTACCCCACCCCACCCCTATTGTATCTCCTGCTACCTCTTGCTCTCTTGTCTGGTTAATCACTCAGGTTATACCTGGGATTGGAGATAGTAGGCTAGGTCAAAGCCGGACATTGAAAAAAAGCCTAAAGCCTAAAAATGGGCAAATATGGATTTATGGATTTTAGAAACAACACATTGATGAACTTAACAGTTTTCTGGCACAATTCTAGATTATTAAAAGATGGTTTATGAACATTTTGAGAAAAATGTAATCATAGATACCAACATGAGTTCTCAGTCAAATCCTGACTGTATTTCCTCCTTGCCAAGTATATCTAAAGAGGCTGATTTGGGAAACTGAAGACATGTCTTGAATTCATTAATTCTAACTAAAGACCACCAAACAAGTTGGTTTAATGCCATTGCAGTGAGGGAGTGTGTCTCAATAGGAGAGTGTTAGGACTCAGAGGATTTAGTGTTGGTTAAGTGATTTGGGGGAAGGTTTAAAAAGGTAGATGTTCTTCTGCATTAGTGCTGTTAAGGGAGGAAGGGATAATTCTATGATTGGATTTTTTTTTTTTTTTTGAGACAGAGTCTTACTTTGTTGCCCTCCGTAGAGTGCTATGTTGTCATAGCTCACAGCAACCTCAAACTCTTGGGCTTAAGTGATTCTCTTGCCTCAGCCTCCCAAGTAGCTGGGACTACAGGCACCTGCCATAATGCCCAGCTATTTTTAGAGATGAGTCCTTGCTTTGGCTCAGGCTGGTCTCAAGCCAGTGAGCTCAGGCAATCCTCCAGCCTCAGCCTCCCAGAGTATTAGGATTACAGGCATGAGCCACCATGCCAGCCCCTAGGATTGTATATCTTAATTTTACCTAGGAGGGCAGACTAGTGTGAAGCTAAAGCTGCCATTGGCAATGAAATCTCTCATTAGGTGGGAAAAGGAAGTTTGCTGTTTTGTGGTTTGCAAGCTGTCCAGTGCTTGAACAAAATTGTGAAGTGATCTTGTTTTATTTATTTTTATGATTTATTTATTTTTTTGAGACAGAGTCAAGCTGTTTTCCTGGGTAGAGTGCTATGGCATCATAGCTCACAACAACCTCTAATTCTCAGGCTCAAACAATCCTCTTGCCTTAGTTTTCCTGCTTTTTTTAGTAGAGATGGGGTCTTGCTTTTGTTCAGGCTGGTCTTGTGAGCTCAAGCTATCCACCCACCTCTGCCTCCCAGAGTGCTAAAATTACAGGCGTGAGCCATGGTGCCTGGCCATTTGCCTGGCCATTGTTTTTTTCTTTGTTTGTTTTTTTCATTTTTAATTGAGACAAAGTCTCACTTTGTTGCCCTTGGTAGAATGCTGTGAATTATAGTTCACAGCAACCTCAAACTCCTGGGCTAAAGTGATACTATTGTCTTAGCCTTACAAGTAGCTGAGACAATAGGTGCCCACTACAAACCTCAGCTAGTTTTTCTATTTTTATTTATTATTTATTTATTGAGACAGAGCTTCACTCTGTCACACTGGGTAGAGTACCACGTTGGCATAGCTCACAGCAACCTCAAACTCTTGGGTTCAACAGCTTCTTTTGCCTCAGCCTCCCAAGTAGCTGACACTATAGGTGCCCACCACAACACCTGGCTAGTTTTTCTATTTTTAGTAAAGATGGGGTCTTTCTCTTGCTCAGGCTGGTCTCCAACTTGTAAGCTTAAGTAATATACCCACCTTGGCCTCCCAGAGTGCTAGGATTACAGGTGTAAACCACTGTGTCCAGCCAGTGATCTTGTTTTTTTTGTTTTTTTGTTTTTTTTTTTTTGAGACGGAGCCTCAAGCTATTCCCCTGGGTAGAGTGCTATGGCATCATGCTCACAGCAACCTCCAACTCCTGGGCTCAAGCGAGTCTCCTGCCTCAGCCTCCCAAGTAGCTGGGACTACAGGCGCCCACCACAATGCCTGGCCATTTTTTGGTTGCAGCCGTCATTGTTGTTTGGCGGGCCCGGGCTGGGGATTCGAACCCGCCACCTTAGGTGTATGTGGCTGGCGCCTTAGCCGCTTGAGCCACAGGCGCCGAGCCGTGATCTTGTTTTTTATCTCACTTCATCCCAGTCAGTGAGTGACCTCGTCTAATGCTGATGTTTGATGAGATTGTGTTCAAAAGAAGAACTTACTGGCTATCTGTGAGCACCAGATAGTCTTAACAACTTTGAAGCCTGTGTCAGGAGCTGTTCTCTGCTCTAGTACTGCTAAGTCATTGCAGATAAAAAAAATTATGAGTCAGTTAATAGTAGCATTTGGTGGAATGTTGATTAGTGCATTCATGTTAGAGAAATCTCTAGTGATAAGCCCCCAAGGGTTGTGTGTTATTAAAAAACCCAACTTGGGTAGTCCCAGCTACCTTCAGGAGGCTGAGGCAAGAGAATCGCCTAAGCCCAGGAGTTGGAGGTTGCTCTGAGCTGTGACATCATAGCACTCTACAGAGGGCGATAAAATGAGACTTTGTCTCTTAAAAAAAAAACCAACTTAGATAAAAATATTAAAAAAACATTTATCAACAGTAACACAATGAAGTGCTAAATAATATTCAAAGGGTCTATCACTTGCATTGACTAAAACACTGGAGTGCTCTCCCCTAAAAATTGCTTAGGGATAAAACCTTGAATTTGAGGAAAAGTATACACTTCTACACTAGCAATAATTCAGATGAGAACAACCTAGGACTCTTAACAGTTCTACTATATTATGCCTAAATAGAACCACTCCTAATATTGTGTGTTTTTCTAAATAATTATTAAGAGGGCCGTTGACAAACCAAAGGGACAGCTGAAAAAGAACTGGCAAGAGAAGGCTGAAGGGAAATCGAGTAGATGTCTTTGGATATTTGAAAAACTATCTGATGGAAGAAGGTTCTGTTTACTGCACAGGAGATAAAAAGGGAGCTCTAGACTAGCTAACATTCATTGATTGGTTAATATAAGTCCAGACACTGTGCTATGCACTTTACATGCAACATTTCTACTTTTTTGTTTTGTTTTTGAGACAGAGCCTCAAGCTGTCCCCCTGGGTAGAGTGCTGTGGCATCACAGCTCACAGCAACCTCCAACTCCTGGGCTCAAGTGAGTCTCCTGCCTCTGCCTCCCAAGTTGCTGGGACCACAGCACCGGCCACAATGCCTGGCTATTTTTTTTTTTGGTTGCAGCCATCATTGTTGTTTGGCGGGCCTGGGCTGGATTCAAACTAGCCACCTTAGGTGTATGTGGCTGGCGCCTTAGCCACTTGAGCCACAGGTGCTGAGCCTTGAGACAGTCTTAAGCTGTTGCCCTGGGTAGAGTGCTGTCCTGTCACAGCTCACAGCAACCTCAAACTCTTGGGCTGAAGCGATTTTCTTGCCTCAGCCTGCCAAGTAGCTGGCACTACAGGTGCCTGCCACAATACATGGATATTTTATTGACACAATGGGTACTATTATTTTGCAGGAGAAAGGAGGCTTAAAAGGTCTTTGCTCTTCCATGTCAGGTATAAGCTACAGAAAAAAAGAAAAAAAACGCCCAGAGTTCTAAACTAGTAAAGATTGGGCCAGGAATCTATGCAGGCAGTCTGACTTCAGACTTGGCATGAGAAAGTTCCAGTGATAGAGCCATGCAACGATGGGACTACTATTTGGCAGTAAATTTTAAGGAATAAATAATACAGAAGTGTCTTCAAATCCTGTTGCCCCTTTGGCCTTGTGAATAGGATGAGACCAGAGTACCACATCCAACCTCCTGCCTTCCCTAGAAGGCAATTGGTTTACATATAAATGCAGATTGCAAGTCCAGGAAGTCTGGATATTCTCTCTTCACTTGGGCCCCACTCGAAGACACTTCCTCTAACAATCGGCCATACCTTTCTGTTGCCACTTATTGTTTATCACCACCAGGTGGCACCTGGGCAACAGGATTGTCAATGGCGGGACCCACCCTGTTCACTTGAGCTGGTAAACTGCACTGCAACTGATTTGTGGCTCCTGGGCTCCAGCTGGGACAAGACCTTCCTGAGGATGAGATTTTGTCCCCCCATAAGACATCTAAAATGAAAGAGTGTGATGATCTGGATGAGATGAGAAAGGGAGAAGTTTGGGAAGGCACCTCCAAAGGTCACCCTCTCCAGTCCCCCAGGCCTAGGAACCCCCTCCCTTACCTCTTGGCAGATTTCAGTTTATAGAGACATTTGTTTCTCAGGAGGTTCATCCACTGTCCTGCTGTAGTTCTGCTTCATCAGTTGGTGAGCAGATCACTCATATCCCCTCCAAGTCCATGGTTGCCCTTTTCTATCTGCTCACTTCTGGGAATATGGAGGATAAAGGAGGCAGATAGAAAATTGTGTCTTATACATGCAAACTGAATGAAGCAGTCTAGCTATTGCCAGCCATAGGGAAGTAGAGAAAAGGAAGTGAAAAAAGATTAAGGGAGGGAAGCTGAGCAAGGACAGGTTGTAAGCAGCTTTGATGAAACAGCCCCATGAAAGCTATGCCCTGCAGAGCCAGATAAATTTATCAGTTGCAGATCTAGTTTCTCCAACAATCACCCCTAGTTCCTCTGCTGCATCAGAAAGAGTAACAATAAGCTGCACATATACTGCATTAAAAATTATTTAAAAATAATCATGACAACCAACCCTTCCTTCCTCAGCTTCCAATTAGTTTAGTACCTACATCTCTGGACAACACTCCCATCTTAGTTTAAAGCCAGTTAACTGCAAAAAATATTCATCATCAGTGTACCCTGCACTTTTCCTTCTTAAACTTACACAGTACAACGAAGAACTGGCATTAGTATTACACCTGTATTGCAAACCTTTCTTCTAACTCAGGCAAATGAGAAACGGAATTACCTCACGGCTTTTGTTTCCTCATTTTAGTGTTCTTTATAAATTTTTCAGGCTCAGGAAATTCTTGAAAAATGTAATAATTTCCTCTGCAGTTGAGGGTCCCCTGCTTTTGGCGCCAATTTAGTCTTAATCCATCCTCTAAGGTAGCGATGACTAGCTAACCCTTGGGGATTTCCAAAAAGAAATAAAGCTTCACTTCCTATTCGCTCCTCCGCTTTTTTTTTTTCTTCCCTGAAGGCTGGATTATGTTTTGTACTTCCCAAACTTTCCAGTTTTCTGTAGCGTCAGTTATTACACTGCATGGAAAAGGTAAGGGAATTGGGGGTGTGGGATAGATGGTCCGTACTCGAACACTTCCAAATATCATTTCGGTTTTTTTTTCCTTCTGTAAGGTCAGCCAAGAAAAGAAAGAGAACTAGGGAAAGCTGACAAAGAAACATACAGGAGTCCTAGACCAAATCCTGCTAAACCGTCAGAACAGATAGAAAGAAATCATGACGCCCCACAATCCCTCAATCCCTCAAACTTCGCAACTTGGGCTTTCTCCAAAACCGAGTAATTGACAGTACGGCTCCGCATGACGTCATACCGTAGGCACTGGAATCCCACGTGGGGGAGCTCTAGGTCCGCCCTCCTCTCTTTAAATGGTACACCACGCCTTCTCCTTATTACCAAATCAAATGCAGCCCCTGAGACCCATCCGTCCTTTTCCCGCCATCCCAGACCCCATCTTGGCACTCTGGTCCAATCAGTGAGGCCGTGCCTCTCCGAACCCGGCTCCCTTCTCCGCGGAAGACGGGAGGAGTTTCAATCTTTAACTCCACCTAGGTCTACGCGGCGCGAGCCAACCCAAGCCCTCAGAGAGGATGGGCGTGACTTGAGGTCCCCTCCCCCTTCGCGGGGATCACGGTTTGCAGAGGGTTGCTGCCCGCTAGACCAGGCAGTTTTCCCCTTGTCTCTGGGTGGGGCGGGTTCTCAGCGGTGGCACAATGGAACGCTCCCCGGGAGAGGGCTCCAGCCTCAGCCCCATGGACCAGCCCACTGCCCCCTCCGACCTCCCTGACCAGCCCCCGGCTGCTTACGCGAAGCCCGACCCGGGTTCTGGGGGCCAACGTGTCGGCCCGGGAGCAGCGGGCGAGGCCCTGGCTGTGCTGACTTCTTTCGGGCGGCGGTTGCTGGTGCTGATACCGGTGTACCTGGCCGGGGCAGTGGGACTCAGCGTGGGTTTCGTACTCGTCGGCCTCGCCCTCTACCTGGGCTGGCGCCGGGTCCGAGATGAGAAAGAACGGAGCCTTCGAGTAGCGAGGCAGTTACTGGACGACGAGGAGCAAGTCACAGCGAAAACTCTCTATATGAGCCATCGAGAGCTACCTGCCTGGGTGAGCAACTGCCATACGTCCTCGGTGCAGCACAGCCCCCCTCCCAACTCCGCAGTCTGGAGTATGTCCTTCCCTAGAGTCAGCTCCCCAATTTGGGAATTGGGGAGAATTTCCCCTCCCCGCTAGCCTCCTGCCTGCTGGGACGAGCCACTGTCCCCACCCACCCTCTCCGCGCTCCCAGATGGGTCCTTGCACAGAACTAGGACTTCTTCCCCTACTCTTGGTCTACAGCAGTGGGAACATCTAGAGACCTCATCTCAGCTGGGGTTTCCCTCCTAGCCAAGCCATCTTGAACGCCCCTCTTGGCTTCTGGTGCCATTGGCCCTGTCGCTGCTTCTGGGCATCCAGGTTCCGGTTACTGTTCAAAGGGTTCCCCTGCCTCTTGTGTTCTCAAGACTTTTTACCCACTTAAGGCCATAAGATTCTTCCTTTTACCCGTGAGATCCAGCCCCAAGAGCACTTCCCAGCTGAGCCCTGGCACCCGGGCTGGCCCTCCGGCAGTGGCTTTCCAGCCCTGGCTGCCGGGCTGCGGCACCGTGGAGGCGGCTGCTGCAGTGCCCGACCCGCACGCCCGGCCGGCGGCCACACCCTTTTCCGGACTGTGGGCTGTGCTTGCTCCTCTGGGACTAGACCCTTTTCACCGTGCCGCAGCAGAGTCCCTCACCTGGTCCCTCCCAGCGGAGGTGCCAGTCCAAGGGAAGAATGGCAGACGAGGGGAATCTAAATTGACACAAAGCAGCACAGCCATGCTTCCCAGGCCCTGGGCTGGGAGGAGAAAGGGGGAAGAAATGGTCCTAGGGGACCTGTAGCCCGGGCGGCTGCGCCTCACATGGAAGCTAATCTTACTGCCACGCAATGCCGAGCGCAGGTGTCTCTTTTAACTGTAAAAGAGAGAGAGAAAGAACAAGCACAAAGCCAGGACCTCATTAGCTCTTCTGGTCACTCCCTGACTCAGGGATTTGCTTCCCACTTGACCTTTTTTGCGATACAAGCCCCAGAGTGAGGAGAGAAGGGAAGAGTTTCTTCAATCCCAGATTCCCTCGAACTCCAGATTTGACTGTACATCCCTTTCCAGAAGGAATGTGAGCTGGGGGGGGGGGGGTCAGAGCTGTCATTTCATAGCCTGGAGCTAGCCACAAAGCAACTTCATGTTGCCTACATCAGTTTCTGGCCTTTTCTTTTTTTTCTTTCAACCTTTTTCTTTTCTTTTCTTTTCTTTTCTTTTCTTTTTTTTTTTTTGAGACAGAGCCTCAAGCTATCCCCCTGGGCAGAGTGCTGTGGAATCACAGCTCACAGCAATCTCCAACTCCTGGGCTCAAACTAGTCTCCTGCCTCAGCCTCCCAAGTAGCTGGGACCACAGGCGCCTGCCAAAACGCCCAGCAATTTTGTTGTTGTTGTTGCAGCCGTCATTGTTGTTTTGGCGGCTGGGGCTGGATTCGAACCCGCCATCTTAGGTGTATGTGGCTGGCACCTTAGCCACTTGAGCCACAGGCACTGAGCCTCTCTTTCTTTCTTTCTTTCTTTCTTTCTTTCGAGACAGAACCTCAAGCTGTAGCCCTGGAGTCATAGCTCACAGCAACCTCAAACTTTTGGGCTTAAGCAATTCTCTTGCCTCAGCCTCCCAAGTAGCTGGGACAAGTGCCCGCCACAACGCCTGGCTATTTTTTGGTTGTAGTTGTCATTGTTGTTTGGCAGGCCCTGGGCTGGATTCTAACCCACCAGCTCTGGTGTATGTGGCTGGTGCCTTAGCAGCTTGAGCTATAGGCACCAAGCCCTTTCTTTCTTTCTTTCTTTCTTTTTTTTTTTTTGAGACAGAGTCTCACTCTGTAGCTCTGACTACAGTGCTGGGGCATCATCTCTCACACCAACCTCAAACACTTGGGCTTAAGTGATCCTTTTGCCCCAGCCTCGCAAGTATCTGGAACTACAGGTGCCTGACATGATGCCCAGCTAGGTTTTTTTTTTGCTTGTTTTGTTTTTTATTAGAAATGGGGGCCTCGGCTCCGTGCCTGTGGCTCAAGTGACTAAGGAGCCAGCCACATACACCTAAGGTGGCGGGTTGGAATCCAGCCCGGGCCCACCAAACAACAATGACAGCTACAACCAAAAAATAGCCAGGCATTGTGGTGGACGCCTGTGGTCCCAGCTACTTGGGAGGCTGAGGCAGGAGATTCGCTTGAGCCCAGGAGTTGGAGGTTGCTGTGAGCTGTGATGCCATGGCACTCTACCCAGGGGGACATCTTGAGGCTCTGTCTGAAAAAAAAAAAAAAGAAAAGAAATGGGGGCCTCACTCTTGCTCAGGCTGGTCTCAAGCTCCTGAGCTCAAGGGATCCACCCGCCTCTGCCACCCAGAGTGCTAATTACAGGAGTGAGCCACTGTGTCCAGCCAGCTCCTCTTAATAGACCTCAGCCTCAAACTCTGGGAGGAATGAAACCTCTGCACATCCCAGCCCCTGCGCCCTACCCCAGACCCCTCCCCAGTGTGAGGAGTCCTTGCAACACACACTTCCTCTCCTCTATGGGCATCCCACCCACATCTTGGTAAGAACCACAGACAGAGAGTGTTCATTGCTATCTCTGCCTTTCTCACCTCCAGGTCAGCTTCCCAGATGTGGAAAAGGCTGAATGGCTAAATAAGGTGAGGACTGATTCTCCTGATTATTGTTCTTCATGAGGGAAGAATGGAGGCTCATTCCTCTTGGTGGACCCTCAGCTCTACCCCCAGCCTAGTCCCCAGGTGCTCTCTTGAGGGGAAGATTCTGAAGGAACTTGCCATTAGAGGCAAGATCAGGCCTGTGACCACCTCCCTTTCCTCCCAGATTGTGGCCCAGGTCTGGCCCTTCCTGGGTCAGTATATGGAGAAGCTTCTGGCAGAAACTGTGGCCCCAGCTGTTCGGGGATCTAACCCCCATCTTCAGACATTTACATTTACACGAGTAGAACTGGGTGAAAAGGTACGTTCATAGGAAAGAAAGTAATGAAAGGGGGCAAATGGGATAAAGAGGATGGGTGGCCCAGAGGGTATGAAGTCTTCCTCCTTTCCCCGCCCATGTCAAGAATTCATCTCTCTCCAGCCTTTGCGCATCATAGGAGTCAAGGTTCACCCTGGTCAGCGGAAAGAGCAGATCTTGCTGGACTTGAACATCAGGTAGTGCCACTCACCGCTCTTCCTGACTCCCCTCCAGTGTGTCCTGGTCACTTCTGGCTACTTCACTTTCCCCAACCGCCATGTCAGATGAGTACTAACCCTCTTTATTCTTTCTTCAACCCCAGCTACGTGGGTGATGTGCAAATTGATGTGGAAGTGAAGAAATATTTCTGCAAAGCAGGAGTCAAGGGCATGCAGGTAGGGCAGATGTCAGGGGCCCACATGGGATATAAGGATGTGGGAGGTTGGAAAAACCAAGGGTAGGGAAGGCTGGAAGGTCAGAGGGCTTATTCTGGGAAAAAGCTATGATCTTCTAGGGTGGTGCCTGTGGCTCAAGGAGTAAGGCCCTGGCCCCATATACTGGAGGTGTTGGGTTCAAACCTGGCCCTGGCCTAAAAAATAAAAAATAAAAAAAGCGGCTCTGCACCTGTGGCTCAAGCGGCTAAGGCGCCAGCCACATACACCTAAGGTGGCAGGTTTGAATCCAGCCCGGACCCACCAAACAACAATGACGGCTGCAACCAAAAAATAGCCAGGCGTTCTGGCGGGCACCTGTAGTCCCAGCTACTTGGGAGGCTGAGGCAG